GGGGGGGGGGGGGGGGGGGGAAGATAAAGGCGGTTGGTAAATTAAATTACCTCACAATGACTACACCCGACATTTCCTTTCCTGTGAGTGTTATGAGTTAGTTTGTGGATTCTCCATGTGATAATCATTGGGATGCAGTTATCCTCATTCTTTGGTATATAAAATCAGCTCCAAGCAAAGGATTATTTGTTTGAGGATCGAGGCCATGAGCAGATCGTTGGATACTTAGATGCTAATTAGGTAGGATCACCTTCTGTTTTAGAAGGAGGTAATTTTGTGTCTTGGAAGAGCAAGAAACAGAATGTGGTTGTTCGGTCTAATGCAGAAGCAGAATATCGAGCAATGATTATAGCAACATGTGAGCTAGTTTGGATCAAACAGTTGCTCAAGAAGTTGACATTTGGTGAGATCAGCAAGATGGAACTTATGTGTGATAATCAAGCTGCCATTCATATTGCATCAAATCCGGTGTTTCATGAGAGAACTAAACACATTGAGTTTGACTGTCACTTTGTAAGAGAAAAGATACTCTCAAGAGATATTGTTACAAAGTTTGTGAAGTCAAATGATCAACTTGCAGATATGTTCACCAAGTCCCTCAATTGTCTTCGTATTAGTTACATATGTAACAAGCTCGGTACATATGATTTGTATGCACCGGCTTGAGTGGGAGTGTTAGATAGTTATATAACTAATATGTTATTAATCCTAGTCCCACATGGAATAGGAGTAGAATATGAATTGTGTATAGTTATAAATAGGGCTCATCGTATGATAGTTAATAGATTAATAATATTCTTTTCCCGTTCTAATTCTCAGAATATAAATGCAATCAAACATAAATAACTGGAGAATCCCGTCTGAGAGATATAATGTTGTTACTTGTTAGATGACTACTTAACAATTCTATGTAATAAGATCTAAAGGATACAAAAGTAAGACGGGTCTATCTTAATCCATTCTAGTACTTCTATTGAGATGTACTCACATATAGCTTATCCGTTTTAACAAACTTATGTATTTTGCAAGAGCAGAATTATGGTCGTTGATTGACCTTTTCAGGAGTTCTTGACAATATCCAAGTTTGGCAAGTTTGAAATAGAATATATGAATCTCTGCTTTCCCAGTTCCTCTCTCTCTCTCTCTCTCTCTCTCTTTATTATCTTCCATCACTTTGAAACAAGCTTTTGTAGCATCTCCTTCACATATATCTCCGATGAAGTTTCTGATCTTAAATACTTGGGACATATGCTTGTCAATGCAACTTGGAAATGCACGTATTTTCACTTTTTTTGTATTATTCAATTTGACTGATATAGTAAAGTGTCAAATGTCCTTAATGTGTCAAAGTTGATTGTATTCTTTCTGCTTTGTATCTTCGATGAAGCCTTTGTTCCTCATCTTTGTTTGTTGGATTGGAAATGCATTAAATTTTTGACCTTTTACATGAATTAAAAAACTAAGATGCTGAAAAATTGTCAAATTTGAAACTTACTTCACTTGTTTATGACAGGTCAATGAAGCAGTAGTTTCTGGGTGGCTGTTTTTTCGTTATCTAGTTATTGGAGGTAGTACACATTCCTTGTTCACTTTTATTACAACCCTAGTATTTGCAGGTTTATGGCCTCTGTTTTTAGTCGAGTCTTGTAGCTTCTTCTTCACGCTTTTTGTGTCTGATTTTTTGTTTTTCCCCTTATTTTAAAATTGTCGTAGGTTTTCCTTGGTGAAGCTAATATCTAAAATATTTGTAACACGATTAAATGAGGGTGAATATTTTGCATATGTTATTAGTGCTCAACGCCACTAGCATTTGGAGATAAAAATTCGCTTGCAGTAATTTAATGCTTTATATGATACTTGGTCCTATATTTGCTTTCCTCGACTTCTTTGTTGATCATAATTCCCATTCATGCAGCATATGTTGGACTTGCCACTGTTGCAGGATTCATATGGTGGTTTGTTTATTATGATAACGGACCCAAACTCCCATACAATGAATTGGTAAGTTCACTCCAAGAAGTCATTGGGTGCATCCTATTCAGTTCTCTCCAGTTTATGTTGTTCTCTTTCTCTTTCTTATATTGATGAGGTTGGAGTGTTCTCAAGTACCTCTGGTCAGAAAAAGTTTTACATTTAAAACCGGCAATCACTGTGCTCTTTTCCAACTTCAAACCTTTGTCAATAAGAATCTACCTCTAACACCTCCCTTGAGGGCCAAACGGAAAACAAATGAGTTATGGGTGAATGAAAGTTCTTTCTCTTCTCATTTGTGCATATAAGAGGGCAGCACTGAAGAGCTGGTTTCATAGTGTTAATCTATGTTGCTCCGACACGGCAGTTTAGGTGCCGCACCCGTGTCGACACGACACTAGTATGGGTGTGGGTATAGGATCCGTACCGGATCTGGTCAAATAATTTTGGGTACTTTGACCACGACGGATGAAAAAATCCGAGACGAGATACAATTTGATTCCCGAAATCAGAACCAAAACTAGGGTAAATTTGAAGAAAATAGCATACCTTATCTAGCAAATCAATCATTGACATATCTACAATTTGAGAATAAAAAGAAAATCTACACTTTACAAGCTATACGTAAGTATTCCACAAAATTTCTCACAATTTAGAGATATTTTTATTTTTTTAGTTTTTGAATTATTTTTAGCCGGATCCCCGCTCCTGTATCCATACTAGGATCCGTATCCCCGAATCTTTGAATTTACATCTCGAAGGATCCGACGTCTAGATCCTCACCCGTATCCGAGCAACTTAGGTGTTAATATGTGGTTTGGCGGGAACATTCAGATTCAGGGACTTGATGACTTGGAATGTGTCCTTGAATTTCCTTAAAATAAAACTAACTCTTTCATGTTTATTTTTTCAGATGAATTTTGACAGTTGTTCAACCAGGGAAGCAAATTATCCATGTAGTATATTCAGTGATCGCCACCCATCTACTGTTTCAATGACGGTGCTTGTTGTTGTTGAGATGTTCAATGCATTGAATAATCTCAGTGAAAATCAATCCTTACTGTAAGCATGCTACTGAAACTGTTGCTGATCTAATTTATTATCTTGCATTTTTAAAAAGTAAAACCCTACACCTTTTTCTCTTTTAATTTGAGGAAATGGAAGTCTATTCTTTTAAAGAATTGCATCTGCACCCAACGATGTGGCCTAGTGGTCAATGAAATGGGTGAGAACCATGAGGTCTCGGGTTCAAATCCCAGCGGAAGAAAAAAATACTAGGTGATTTCTTCTCATCTATCCAAGCCTTGGTGGATAGAGTTACCAGGTACCTGTTGCTGGTGGGAGGTGGCAGGTATCCCGTGGGATTAGTCGAGGTGCGCGCAAGCTGGCCCGGACGCTACAGTTATTAAAATAAAGAATTGCATCTACCGAATGCCTCCACCAATTGCAGTAATATTGGAAATTCATGGTGCTCCTCATAGGCAGTTGTACTGTCATTTTCCTATTGCTTATGATTCCTTTGCTTTGTTCTTACCAACTTTTCAATTCTCTTCTATATCAAAAAGACTTTGCTAAAAGTAAATATTTGATTGACATGTTTCTCTGAGTTCTTTTCTGACGAATCCTTACAACTTAGATCCTGAAAGTTAATTTAAAGCCACTCAAAGTCCTGTGTACCTCATCCACTTGGTAGTCCTTTTGACCATTCTATAATTTTAAGAGAGAGATTTCTTTAGAGATCGAAAACCCCTTCCTAAATTCCAGAATCCCTCTTAGAAATGATAAAAATAGTATTTTAGGATTTTATTGAAGGTGGGTATGAATTTTTGAATATTTTCTCTGACTGAGGAAAGATGTTTTTGTTCTTTACATTAATTATCACCTTGTGATCTACTCATCTACTCTTTTTGGTCCTCAAGAAGTAAATGTATGTACAAGGGGCAGTTACTTGTCCTTCACAAGATGTGGATGGCGGTCCGCATTTTGTCATATTCTATGTCGAATTAACTTGTCTTTTTAAAGCTTCTAGAGACATTGTTTGCTGAGGCTCTGTTTTGTTTCTAGATCTTGTTGTCTTGCCATTTCTGTATAGAATGCCGACAATATTTAGACATTACATCAGAATAACTTTATGTCCTTTCAGGACTGACTATGTTTTTTTGGTTCTTAAGTGTCATCCCTCCATGGAGTAATTTATGGCTTGTTGGTTCAATTATCTTCACCATGATCCTTCACATCCTCATTCTTTATGTGCAACCATTATCCGCTCTATTCTCTGTAAGTGACCTCTTGTTCTTCTGACTTCAGCATAAGTTCTTTCAGTTTGATGATGCTTCTTTGNTGTAAGTTCTTTCAGTTTGGTGATGCTTCTTTGTGCTGAACATGTTACTTAAAATGATTCTGATATGTGAATTGCAGGTGACACCGTTAAGCTGGGCAGAGTGGACAGCTGTGCTATATCTTTCATTTCCTGTAAGAGAATTGACCATCAAAATCCTGCACTGTGAACTCCTTATTCTTATTTATATTTGTGAGCTGCAAAAAATCTTTTTGTGCTGTATCGCACTGTAGATATTCTTTTATCGTAAATGTTTGAAAACAGCCAAGTGTCTGATTTGGTGGAGAGATGTTCTAGTTTTAAATGAGGGAAAGTATTGCTAAGGTTGGTGCCACATGTATCAAATATGTCATTTTTAGGAGACAAAAAGGTGTGATCTTTAGTTGATCTCTATAGCTCGTATCCATCTTAAATGCAATCTGAGTTACGTGCCCAGCTGCTGCCTAGGTAGAGTCCCTGTTAACTGCCGGTATATATAGATACATTAGAAGTCAGGCATCAGAAAGAAAATATGGTGGAGATATATTTTATGCTGTTTCTCTCGGTTGCTGATTCTCTGTATTTCAATCCTTAAAACCATGCATTGTGGCCAAGTTTCTCGAGCTTAAAATGATCAACGGGGACCAAAAGGAGTTGCTGAATTATTGTAATCATTTGCTATGTTTCTGTGTTCATGTGATCATGTTGACATTTTGTTTGACCTTTCCCCATCGTGCTTTGGGTGATTTCTTTTGCCAGTAGCTTGTTTCTTCTGTTCTCCTTCATAAATGTTCTTTCCATTTATCATGATTTCTACCTTAATGACTGCTGCTACTCTTCTTGTTAGGTGATAATAATTGATGAAATACTGAAGTTCTTCTCTCGGAATTCAGGTAATACTGTTCAACCTGTTCTTTTAAATGATTAGAAAATAAAAACTTCCATTGTGGTGGGTTGTCAATGGCAATCCCCAATACGCTCTTAGGCTCTCAACTCATAATTTATTAAGTGAAATTGAGAAGGATAACACTACCTATTGTAAAACTCGAACTCAACCTATGCCTTTGATCATGAACATCAGGTTTACCTTTCCTTTTTGCTCCTCTAAACAACTTTAGAGGTCGTACATTCTACAATGAAGTGAACAACAGAAATTAAGATAGACTGGTAACAAGTTTGAGCTTGTATTTCTAGTATTACTGCTGGAGAAGGCATTGTCAACTTGTAGACATTGAGATTGAAGCATCTAAAAACTAAATGAGGACTGAGTTTTACCGTGCAAGTGAAATTTATGTATAATATTTGTTGCTTCCTTGTTTATAGGAATAAGGTTCACTTTCAGATTCAGACGTGCTGACTTACTTCCAAAAAGAGAAGTACGCGACAAGTAAGCTGAATGCTGCTTAGACATTGCATAAACTGTACAATGGGGATATGGATATTATAAAACTGAAACCCCAACACACCTCATTCTATATTCTTGTGAGCATATTGGAAGTAAGTGACTAAATGTAGCTCAAGCATTACATGTCATTAGGTTGCAGCTGAAAGATCAGATACGCCCTCATACCCTTAGACTTCCTGTTGGAAAAAATTTTGTTAGTAATTTGTTCTTATTTATTAAACAATAAATAGGTAATTTTTCTAAGTTTATGAATTTGGTACATTAAATGAAGTTTTCCGAGGCTGGATCTTTTGCTACTTTGATTGTTTCGTCAATGCTGTTATTTTTCAAGTTGGCGGCCACAACCCCCTTCACCTCAGCTGAGAAACTAAACCTTTTTCCTTTGTAATCACTCCATAATTTTCATTGACATTCGCAAAACAAACATGGGATACACAGTCCAAGGTAAGACCGGTTCAGGATCAGCATAAATTGCTATTTTTGGAGGATTTGTTCCTTTGTTTTTATGATTGAGATTTCTCAAGCTACGTCCCCCTGTGCTCACCTCAACATTCATTTTAAGCCTTTTAAGAGTCCAATCATTTTTTCCCTTGATGTCAGTCTGGAATCTATACATATACGTGAAATTCGGACTAAACTCAGTCGTTTGGTTGCGGTTTTGGATGTTCTTTTGAGTACTATTTATTATATTATATATGCTTCTTAAGAATAAGAATTCATGAAAGAGTTTCACAAAATTGTCTTGATTATGAGATATCAGTGACAAAGAAATAGAAAATATATCTACACATTAGGAAATGTGTACACGTGCATTATGCATACGTGCACACATGCATGTGAATTGTGATGCTTGCTCAATTCCTGAAGAATATCCAGGAAAATTTAATTAACGTTTTATGAAGGTAATGCGACAAATAAGAAGTAGAGTTGTAAATCCTCAACCATAACAGAGTCAATGGAGCGCCCACCAAGATTCTCAGCTAGTAGGGATGGTAATAGCTTCAAAGAGCTTATCTTTGCACGGAAGTATTGGAAAAGATTAATGCTTTAGAGTCAACTGCTTATAAAGGATCATTAGATATCCATCTCTTAAACGTAAGAAAGCATTCTTCTCGCTTGTACTCTGCAGCTACGTGCCCTGCTCACTGTTTAAAGCAATCCAACATGTATTAAGGAAGGGGGGAATAAAAAGGAATTAAGTTATTTGAAATGATATTAAGGTTCTTACCTTTACTGCGGCATAGGTCATTTTATTGGAGTATGATCTCATGTAACTACCGACAAGCAATAAAGAGTGTTAGCTCAGTATTTATGGAGCAAAAAAAAGTCTGATGTAGTAATTCAATAGAAAGATATAATGACTGAATCTAGAACATACCCAGCAATTTTTTTTTTTTGGGGTGAAAGGGATTAGCATATATTAATAATTATTACTAAATAGAGTACTGATTGTTAGAGGGATATTGGTTCCCCCCTATGTTGGACAACTTGTTCTGAGCTATCACTATTACAAACCAAAACAGTTCTAGGTACTACAGTTCCTAGGATGTCTGTCCAAAATATTCCATTTGCAAACACCTAGTTCTAGGTACTACAGTTCCTAGGATGTCTGCCCAAAATATTCCATTTGCAAACACCGGAGGAATTGGCAGCATTGTTGTTCTTCCCAAAAAGTTGGTTCTTGCTCCCTCGCATCAGCCACCCTATTCTGCTCGATGTAGTTGTGTTTCACTACTACGCTGCCCATCCTTTGAATCAACAACCTGCATTCAGAAATAATAGAGTCATGAGTGTTATTTCCTGAGATTAGCATCTTATTACCTCCGTAGAATCTGTGACTATTTCCAGTGGTGTTAGGCCCCTTTGTTCTGCAATTTGGAGACCCCTTAAAAGTCAGTCGTCTCCGGCAGGGTGTTGGTGGTATGGGGCATGTTTTTCCATAAATCCAAGGATCCAGTCTCCACTGGATGTCCTACAGACACCTCCAATGCCACCTATCTCTGGGTTACCTAAAGCTGCCCCATCTGTATTAAGCTTATAGTGACCCCCGTGTGGAGGTTCCCATTTGACACCTACAGTAATTGTATTCCTCAAATTCTCCCTGACTGTTACTATGTAGAATTCAGTGACCATAGCAATGGTGTTAGAAGTGGAGATGTGATCTTTCTTTTTGTTGAATAGGTTATGATTTCTTGTTATCCATATGTGCCAGAAGCAGAAGGGAAGGATAACCTCCCATGATAAAATATCATTGAAAGGCATTTTCCTTAGGTTGGTCCATGCATTGGACCAAGACTGGGCTGTGAAGTTTGGGTACCACTGTTGGCTGGCAGTTGTGCTTTTAGTGGTGAGATCATGCCAGAACAACTTAGCATTAGGACGGTCGAAGAAAATATGGGTACTTGTTTCTAGAGTGCAGGAGCAGAAACAACAAGCAAGGTTACAGTTAATCCTAATTCTGTGAAGGAGGGCTCCTGTTGGTAGTCTGTCATGGGACAGTAGCCAAATGAATGTTTTGATCTTATTGGGTACCTTTAACTTCCAAATCCAACTAAATTTATTTCCTTCCCTATTCTATTAAATCATCTTTGCTGCTAAGAAAGGTGTAGGCTGATTTGGTGGTAAAGATGTCATTGTGTGTCAGACCCCAAATCATTTTGTCTTCCTTGACTGAATTAGTAGGAATGAATGTAGATTAGATTAGGTTCATGATGTTGTTTGGAAGGTTGAGGGAGAGGGAAGAGGTATTCCATTCCCCATTATTGTAGATTGTGGCCACCTTGGCAATAAGGTCATTTAGTGTAAGAGAACCCCCAAGCATTTTTTTTTTTGATGGATGTATTATTTGGTATCTATGCATCATTAAAAAAAAACTACCCTGTCCTCTTTGTTAACGACCCACCTACCGGCCTGCCTACATGTATCCCATCCTCTGAGAATACACTGCCAGATTGGAGATTTGAATTTTTTGGGATATGGTTCCAATTACAGTGGTTAGAGATGAGGACTCTTGCCCAGAGAGATGAGGTATTATGAAATATCCTCCGGGCTAAACCAACATGGAATGTCCTTTTCTTGCACTCCACTTTTGCAAGCCCAAGCCCCATGGCATTTTGGAGTTGTAACCTTTCCCATCCTACCCGGTGCATTTTCTTCCTATTTGGACGCCAATCATCAATAATGGAATAGTTTAGAGCTTTAATCCACGCTTCCGTAGACATGAATGGAACACCCGTCATGATCACCACAGCTTCAACAAGCCGCGGATTCAAAATTTTAAGTTATCTAGTGCAGAATATCATTACACTTACTACCTCATTTGTGAAAATCAAGTTTTGGCCAATTATGTATATTGAAAAGTTTAGACCAATTATGTATATTGAAATTTTTTTAAAATATTATTACACTTACTACCTCATTATAACTCGACGCGGAAGTAGTTAATTTATATGTCCGTATCTACTGCCTTCAATATACATCCATTGGTAAATCTTTAAATGAAAGGCTTTAATTTTGAGAATTATAAGCAAATGAAGGGGGGAAAAAACTAATCTGAATATAAGCGCTCGACAGCCTTTGGTGCTAAGATTTACATGATACGAAAAACTATCCATGGAGGTAAATGTGTAGAATCTCTTTATACCATCTTGCTTACATCTTTCCCATCTTCTTATGGTTCCCTAGTATAAGTAGAAAATCAAGGCAAAATAACACTTCAATTTCTTGTTATATATATATATATATATATATATATACTTGATGCAATACGTCCCTTTTTAAAGTAATAATTGATAATATAGTTCACATACCTTTCGAACATGGAGAGCTTCTCGGACTGCAGGGCCATTTGCCCAATGATCAGAAAGCTTGTGCCTTAAATCCTGCAATTATAGATAATTCGCTGTTTCTAAGTATTTTGACTACGACTTAATTCCTTAAATAGTCATACAACTTAATGAAATTGCCTAATAAAGTTATTTCTTTTTTTCTCCTGAAGTCACTAAAGTCCATTGATAACATCAGAAACATTGAGTACAAAGAGTCCTTGGTTACAATAGCCCTTTCCCACAAACACATTATTTTTGGTCATTATGATCTTATCAGATTCAAATGATACTTTCACTCCGGCTCTTCCCAACAAGGATATAAAGATCAAGTTTGCCCTCATAGTTGGAACATGCAGTACATCAACAAGGACTAAAGTTTTTCCCGAAGTGAGTTTTAGGAGAACTTTACCCTTACCCAAGACTTTGGTAGTACTTGAGTCTCCACGGTAGACCTCTTCTCTATCATCCTCTACAGGAGTATAAGAGGAAAATGCTTCTCGATTTGCACAAATGTGCCGAGTAGCCCCAAAGTCTACCACCCATTCTTTTGCACGTACTATAATGTTTACTTGGGAAATGACACCTGCAATAATATCACTTCCTTCAGCTAAGTTAGTTTTAGGAGTATTAGTTTTTCCTTTGTCATTTCCTGCTCTGTACCTGCTCTGTGAGGCATGATGGCCTAGTTTTCCACAAACAAAACAAGAGCCTTTTTTTCTTTTAAGGTTAGGATTTTTAGGCTTGTAACCTTGAGACCTATTCTAGTACCTTTTGTGGTTGTTGTTGCTACTTTGCACTAAATTTGCTTTAAGAGCTGTCATCCTAGCTTTGGCAGATTTCTTTCTATTGGAATCTTCAATTAGGATGTGGGTCACAAATTCCTCAATGGTAAAATTTTTCTGTTTGTGCTTTAAGTTATTTTTGTAATCACTCTATGAGGCAGACAACTTCTCAATCAGAACTCCAGCAGCAAACTTTTCTGATAATGACATCCCCTCGGCCTTCAAGTCTTCTAGCTATTTTTGATATTCATTGATTTGTACGTTCATCTCTTTGTCATCTCTCATCTGCCACTGATAAAATTTTCCTACTATAAATTTTTGTTTTGTAGCATCTTCAGCAGTGAATATTTTAATTAAGGCTTTCCAGATGACTTTTGCTTCCTTATAACTGCAATACACGTCAAGCAGTTCATTAGAAATAGTTTGTAATATGGTATGATGTCATACTTTGTTGGAATGTTGCCATGATTTCACTATTTTATTATCAGCGTCTGTACTAGGTTGTGGATGCAATAGTGCATGTGCAACACCATGGACATCTAGCAGTGAGAAAATACGTTCTTGCCAACACTTAAAATTTTCATTGGCAAAAATTTCAATATTTGACACATCTGAAAAATGCCCTGGCATATGGTAGTACAACTGGGGCTGGAACAACGGAGGTAGCGCCAATATTGGTAGTATCAGTAGTTTTTTTAGCATCAGTATTGCTTGCCATAGTTTCTTAGATTGTAGGAGGTGAGAGCAAAAATTTCAATAATAACACTGCTATATTATTCTTTGTAAGCAAATACACGGGTTGACTTGAGTCGTGCCAGACACTGTCCTAAGAAAATATTTCAGCAGTATGAAATCTCTCCCCAGGATTAAACAAGTCTACCTCTATTTAAGAGGATACATGAATCATCAAACTTTAATTACAAACCCAGCTAGTTAAAAGAGGAAAACAAAAGAAATTAAACTACTAAACTTTGAGAAGAAAAAAAATAAAGGAAAGCTGATGAAGACCGAAATTAGAAGGAGAGAAGTAGAAGAATTTCTTTGTCCTGCTAATGATTATTTTCTAGTCTAGTTGAGAGCCTATTTATAGGCACATGTGCATGGATCCATATGCTGAGAGGAAAGAACGTGGCAAATGCAATTGCCACTTTTCAAAAGTTTCTTGCCATTTATCTCATAGCTTCTAGAAGGGCTGCCACATGGTTTAGTTTAAGACATTTGTCAACAAAGGGGTTTAAAATATTGTCACAATCCCCCACTATTTTAAAAACCTTCAAAAATAAACTTCTTGGATTTGTATGGTCTAAATACAATAGATTTGGTATCTTTTGGACTATGAACCAAACTTAGACCGATAAAATTTAACTCACAGAATTACTGTTGAAATATAATATTTCTATGAACCAATAATTCTTATTGTAAGTTAGAGATTTTATGAATCACATTTCGACCCTCACGATTTTGTTGTTTAACGCGGTTTTGCGCCACTAGGCCATGCACGTGCATGGTTATTCATGAGAGCTCCAGAGACTAGGCCAAAATCTCATAGGAGCGGCCCCACTCCACTCTCATATAGGTGAATTCATCAAGTGTATACTGCTTTTAAATACACCATCCATAAGGAATACGAATTCATTAAGAGTTATAACTCAACCTCTCAATTAGTAGCAGTCAAGCACTCTCTTTTAGTGCTTCAGTGTCAATATCAACTTGTTATTACCCATATGAACCTACTTCATGGGATCTCCAATCACATAGGTTGGGTTACCATCTCTATTAACAACATGTCCGCCTTAACCCCATCTCTTTTGAGGTTTGAAGAATTAATTTTCTTCCCACATGTTTAGTCAGAGGATCGGCCAAATTTATCTCTGACTTCACATAGTCAATGAAAATTATTCCATCTCTTAATAGCTGCTTTATGACATCATGTCTTAATTTCATGTATCTACTTTTACAATTATAAGATTTATTCTTTGCAATAGCTATTGCCCCTTGACAATCACAATGCATGAACATAGGAGGCAATACGTCCTTTATTAAAGGGATATTAGCTAAGAAGTTTCTTAGCCACTCAGCCTCAGAACCAGCTAACTCCAGAGCTACAAACTCTGATTCCATAGTCTATTTAGCAATGATCGTATGTTTAACTGATTTCCACGATATTGCACCACCACTAAGGGTGAATACATAACTACTAGTGGATTTTTTTTTATTTGAATTAGAGATCCAGTTTGCATCACTGTACCTCTCTAAACTAGAAGGAAATCCACTATATAGGATACCATAATTCATGGTTCCTCTCAAATATTTTATTAGTTTATCTAATGAAGATCAATGCTCTCTGTTGAGATTATGAGTGTATTTACTCAGTCTACACACAGCATAGGCTTTATCATGCCTTGTAAAATTCATTAAATGCATCAGACTCCTAATAATCTGCTCATATTTAGATTGAGTAACTGGGTCACCATTATTCATTTTCAACTAAGAGTTAGTATCAAAAGGAGTGCTCACAGATGTGACATTAAAATATTCAAACTTCTTAAGAAGTTTCTCAACATAATGTTCTTGTGACAACATTATTCCATCTTCACTCCTTAAAGGCATCATCTTTATTTCTAAGAAAATACAACTTAGTAAATCTAGAAAAATCATCAATAAAAGTCACATAATATTTTTTACCACCTCTAGTCATAATCTGCTATAAATTACCTAAATCAGTGTGAATCAAGGATAATAATTCAGTTTCTCGATTTACAGAAAAATAAGTCTTTCTAGTACTTTTAGTTTCAACACATATTTTACACTTGTCAAATATTGTTTGAGTCTAAACCAGATATTAAGTCTAGTGACTGCATTTTTTTATATTTGTGATATTAATATATCCTAGTCTAGCATGCCATAAAGAAATAGACTCAACCATATAAGCAGAAGCAGGTACATTTTCATTGATAACATCAGAAACATTAAGTACAAAGAGTCCTTGGTTACAATAGCCCTTTCCCACAAACACATTTTTTTTAGTCATTATGATCTTATCAGATTCAAATGACACTTTCACTCCGGCTCTTCCCAACAAGGATTAAAGATCAAGTTTGCCCTCATAGTTGGAACATGCAGTACATCAACAAGGACTAAAGTTTTTTCCGAAGTGAGTTTTAGGAGAACTTTACCCTTACCCAAGACTTTGGTAGTACTTGAGTCTCCACGGTAGACCTCTTCTCTATCATCCTCTACAGGAGTATAAGAGGAAAATACTTCTTGATTTGCACAAATATGCCGAGTAGCCCCAAAGTCTACCACCCATTCTTTTGCATGTGCAACAATATTTACTTGGAAAATGACACCTGCAATAATATCACTTCCTTCAGCTAAGTTAGCTTTAGGAGTATTAGTTTTTCCTTTGTCATTTCCTGCTCTGTACCTGCTCTGTGAGGCATGATGGCCTAGTTTTTCACAAACAAAACAAGAGCCTTTTTTTCTTTTAAGGTTAGGATTTTTAGGCTTGTAACCTTGAGACCTATTCTGGTACCTTTTGCGGTTGTTGTTGCTACTTTGCACTAAATTTGCTTTAAGAGCTGTCATCCTAGCTTTGGCAGATTTTTTTCTATTGGAATCTTCAATTAGGATGTGGGTCACAAATTCCTCAATGGCAAAATTTTTCTGTTTGTGCTTTAAGTTATTTTTGTAGTCACTCAATGAGTTAGACAACTTCTCAATTAGAACTCCAGCAGCAAACTTTTCTGGTAATGACATCCCCTCGGCCTTCAAGTCTTCTAACAATTTTTGATATTCGTTGATTTTTACGTTCATCTCTTTATCATCTCTCATCTCTCCTACTACAATTTTTTGTTTTGTAGCATCTTCAGTAGTGAATATTTTAATTAAGGCTTCCCAGATGGCTTTTGCTTCCTTATAACTGCAATACACGTCAAACAGTTTATTAGAAATAGTTTGCAATATGGTATGACAGCATACCTTGTTGGCATATTGCCATGATTTCACTATTTTATTATCAGTGTCTGCACTAGGTTGTGGATGCAACAGTACATGTGCAACACCATGGACATCTAGCAGTGAGAAAATACGCTCTTGCCAACACTTAAAATTTTTATTGGCAAAAATTTCAATATTTGACACATCTGAAAAATACCCTGGCATATGGTAGTACAACTGGGGCTGGAACAGCGCAGGTACTGCCAATATTGGTAGTATCAGTAGTATTTTCAGCATAAGTGTTTCTTGCCATAGTTTCTTAGATTGTAGGAGGTGAGAGAAAAAATTTCAATAATAACACGGCTATAATATTCTTTGTAAGCGGATACACGGGTTGACTTGAGTCGTGTTAGGCACTGTCCTAAGAAACTATTTTAGCAGTATGAAATGTCTCCCCAGGATTAAATAAGTCTATCTCTATTTAATAGGATACAGGAATCAGCAAACTTCAATTACAAATCCAGCTAGTTAAAAGAGGGAAACAAAAGAAATTAAACTACTAAACTTTGAGAAGAAAAAAATAAAGGAAAGCTGATGAAGACCGAAATTAGAAGGAGAGAAGTAGAAGGATTTCTTTGTCTTGCTAATGATTATTTTCTAGTATAGTTGAGAGCCTATTTATAGGCACATGTGCATGGATCCATATGGTGAGAGGAAAGAACGTGGCAAATGCAATTGCCACTTTTCAAAAGCTTCTTGCCATTTGTCTCATAGCTTCTAGAAGGGCTGCCATATGGTTTAGTTTAAGATATTTGTCAACATAGGACTTTAAAATATTGCCACATAAATAAAGTGTGATTTGCTTATAAGCCATTTTAATGTACTCTTTTATTTAATAAATTTGTAAACATCTTTCTAAAAGGAATTCCTTTAAACTGAAAATGTAATAAATAAGTAAGTTCTACTTCAAGGAGATCAAGGAAATGATTTCCTGATGTAATACTGTAAATCTCTTTTAACTTAATACATAGGCTAATTTTATTGCCTAAAAAAAACTTTCTTATGCGTCTTAATTCTTGTAGTTTGTGTTACAGAGCCTCGCATAAGCTCTTAATTTTCTGAATGAAATTGGTTTTAATTAGTACTGGGGTCTTCAAGTTTTATCGGTAAGAATATTGACATAATATAACCCAAGATCAAACATGATATTAGGACACAAACTAGATTTAGATTTGCAAGAACACTTGCATACCTGTCTGAGTCATACCCTGGATTGACGAAGGACTTGGTCTTCCTCTCTATTACCTTTTCTTCAATATGGCAGCATCAATAGGATAACTACCACACACAACAAATATTTTGAATTAACTCTGACTATGTGTTTATATAATAGCTAGAGATGTGACCTAGCTATAATTAATGAAACCTTGATGGGCCCTCCCATTAAGGGCCTCATCGAGTTGAGCCTATACTCACCGTCATACTAGACCCACCAAGTACAAAGCATGGCCCAATAATCAATTATCACACTTATAATTGGGCTCACATTTATGGACTATCATCAAACTCGAATATATAATTATAAATAATATAGAAGAATTAACCTAAATAGTCGCATACTCGACCAGCTAAACTAAAAATACATATATATATNGTATACCGGCTAGAAAAGTAAAGAGTAAATCCAGCCGGCTATTTGTATAAAGATCCCAATAAAATATTTAAAAATGTAAGTCCATTTTTCTTACATTCTCCCACTTGGGATATATTAGAAAAAAAATTATTTTAAAACAAAACTAAAACGAACTAAAGAAAAATTAATTTTCTTAAAAAGAAAATTCTGGGATTATGAAAGAAAAACATTTGTGGCCACATTTTTTTATTTTACAATAAGTCCATAAACTTTAACCGACCTTTATTAACTCAACCCTGAACATCGGACTACGGTGATCTATGTATTTTTATCAACACATGTGTAACGACTCGGCCGGTCGTTCTGAGAGTATTAGCCCCGAACCCCTATTTATTGCTCCCTCTATTTCGTTTTGTGATTACGTAACTTGTCGGGAGGATTTATTTTTGGTTTGAAGTGAAATGGGACATATAGTCCCTAAAATGGAAGGTTAAGTCGTAGGAATCGACCGTAGTTTGAATTGTGTGAAGACGACTCCGTAATGAAGTTTTGATGGTTTCAATAGCTCCGTAGGGTGATTTTGGTCTTAGGAGAATGTTCGAATATTGAATTGAAGGTCCGTAGGTCATTTTAGCGTCAATTGGCGAACGTTGGAAAATTGAATAATTTTTGGGAAATTTGTCCGGGAGGGGCTTTTTGACATCGGAGTCAGATTCCGATTCCGGAAGTTGGAGTAGGTCTGTAATGCCAATTATGACGCGTGTGCATAATTTGAGGTCAATCGGACTTGATTTGATAGGTTTCGGCGTCGGAGATAGAAGTTTGATGTTCTAAAGTTCATTAGGCTTGAATCGATGCGCAATTCGTATTTTTAGCGTTGTTTGATGTGATCTAAAGGCTCGACTAAGTCCGTATGATATTTTAGGACTTGTTGGTAAGTTTAGTTGAGGTCCAGGGGGTCTCCGGTAGATTCCGGATGGTTAAAAGAGCAAATTTGGCAGGCACCGGCTCTGGTGTAATCGCACTTGTGCAAGATTGACCGCAAGTGCGAGCCCGCAGAAGCGGCACGTTGATCGCAGAAAACGGGCTGGAGTAGTGTGGGCAGAGATCACAGATGCGAGGAACATTCCGCATCTGCGAGACCGTAGATGCGGACAAGGAGGATGCAGGTGCGCTGGAGCCGCAGAAGCGGACTGCTTCTCGCAGAAGCGAGTCCGCAAAAACAAATAGGAGATCGCAGAAGCGGAGGCAAGGAAGCCTGGGCAAAACCGCAGAAGCGGTGCATTTTCCGCAAAAGCGGTCAAGTGATCAAACACTGGGCAGACTCTATTAATTCAAGGGTTCGTGATTTTTGATCATTTTAAATATTTTGAGCTCGGGTCTTGACGATTTTTAAGAGCATTTTCGAGAGATTTCTTGAGGTAATTCTTTTGTACTTATTTTTGATCAATAATCTTGTTTCCCCATTGATTCCCCACCTAGATTGTGTGTATTTAAGGTGGAATTTGGGAGTTTGAGGCTAGGGATTTGGAGAGTTTAATTTGGCGATTTGTGTGGCGATTTGGTGTTGGATTTTGGTAAAACTAGTATGGTTGGACTCGTGGTCGAATGGGTGTTCGTATTTTGTGACTTTTACCGAATTTTGAGATGTGGGCCCGGGTCGACTTTTTGGGCCGTTTTTTCGATTCTTTGCTAAAGTCATAGATTTACTATTTAAATTAGTTTCTTGTAGTTGTATTCATGGTACGTAATTGCATTTTGCTAGATTTGCGCTATTCGGAGTTGGAAAATTGAGGGAAAGGCATCCGTATCGAATGATTGGGTGAGATTTGAGGTAAGTGACTTGTTTAACCTTATGTGGAGAAAATCCCCTTAGGATTTGGTACTGTTGTAACAATTTGTGATATGTGAGCGCTGTGTACGCGAGGTGACGAGTGCGTAGACGGGCTAATTGTGGAAAGTTTTGGTTCTTGCTGAGTTGTCTTCTTTTAAATTCTTTAACTGAGTTGCCTTAGCATATGTAGTGATCATGTTTAACCTAGTATCGCATGTCTATGTGCCTTAACTCTTACTTGAAATTTGTGCAACATGCTTATTTGAATTACCTGCTTCCCTTGGCTTGAATTAAATTTTTAACTGTAAGATTTCTTGCTGTAAATTCGTAGTTCCTTCGGTTATCTGCTGCATATTTCCTTTGGGACTACGAGGCGGTTCCTCGGGAGATCCCCCTGTACTGCATATTTACTTTGGGACTACGAGGTGGTTCCTCAGGAGATCCCCATGTACTGCATATTTACTTTGGGACTACGAGGCGGTTCCTCGGGAGATCCCCCGGTACTGCATATTTACTTTGGGACTATAAGGCATTTACTCGGGAGATCCCCCTGTCTTGCATATTTACTTTGGGACTACGACGCGGTACCTCGGGAGATCTCCCTGTCTTGCATAATTACTTTTGAGACTACGAGGTGGTAACTCGGGAGATCCCCTTGTTGAGCATTTACTTTTGGGTTGCAAGGCGATACCTCAGGAGTGCTCCCGTTGTTTAACTCTATTTGCTGTGCTATTATTTTCTGAAACTTCTCGTTGCTTAAATTCTCACTCATTTCAAAATATTATTATATCTTCTGCCTTGCTTATCTTTTAAACCAGGAGGGCCCTGACCTGACCTCGCCACTATTCTACCGAGGTTAGGCTTGGCACTTACTGGGTAAAGGGCGATGTGCATAGATAGCCAGTAATAACACATGTATTTACTTTTACGCCACTGTTTTAAATATATTTAGTCTTTAGCCACTGCTTTAATAAATATTTAGCCATCGGACGAAAATACCCTTATGCTATATAGGATTTCGCTGATACATACGCTCCTTATTCACGATCAGCAGCAGCTCAAACTTACGTGCAAACTTACGTGCAGAGAATTATTGTGATCATCCAAAATTGTAGAAGCTTCTCTTCCGATTTCAAACTTTTTGTCTAAGTTCATAATTCAACTTTCTCGTCCAAAATTCACCATAAAATTATAGTAAGTTCTAAAGTTTCAGATATC